AGGTGAAACTATCTTATTAAGGGAAAAATACAACCGTGTTAAAGGACGAGCAAATAACGTTTGGGTGATTGGTTTATATGATACCTCTCTGCAGAGAAGATTCTTCGAGAGGACATCCGATAGAAATTCAAGTACTTCAATGCATATTATTACTCCACTGGTGAAACAAGGATCCATAATACACACATGATTAGAAAGGTCTAACTCCCTGTCATCCTTTGGATATATTCACCACAGAGTCAACCATTGTAATGATTTTTTAGATCCCATTACAGGGACCCACACCAATTCTATCGATGACTTTTGGGGAAGGTTAAAAAATAGGATTGGAGCCATTCATGGATTACAAAACGATGTTATTTATAGTCATTTGGATGACTATATGTATAGGATGTGGTGTAACTTTTCCATAAATACTCCTATGCTAAACTGGGAGATGTTTTTATCATATGTGCGAGAAACGTATCCCCTGTAACAAATTTTTATAGTTTTTATGCATTTTTTCATAAATATGTGTATTCCATACCCGAAAATACCCCCTTCATTTGATTGGTGTGTTCAAAGGCATTCTTTGATTGTTAGCTAGTGGGGCTTAAAGCTTAACTTTACCAAGTTAAACTATAATAGCTAATGCCTCTCTGAGCGACCAATCAGAATTCAAACTCTAAAAAGTCATGTTATTCAAATGAACTGTCGTCAAGATTTGACAGATATTGTTGGGAAAATGTGCCAACCAGCATCACAAACATGAGACTACACTGTATAATTGTCTCTTATGTCTTCTAAAAATGTCTTCGAGTTATTCTAAGGATAATCCATAGAGAAATCATATCATACCCGATCACGATGTCTTACATCCATGGCGACGTGGTCGGGCTTGAACACCGCAATGACCCAACAAGCTATACTGGCTGGAACTTATGTTCCTGCAGGTCTTACCATGCCAGAAAGGTTGTTTGGATAGCGGTTAGACTAAAAGCAGTTACCCAATCAAATCCTATGACTTCAAACAAATCACAAAATATCATGCCGGATCGGTCGGGGCCCGGATTAACAACGACTGCGCTTTCTGCTGCCGTGTCACAGGGCAGAAGTGATAAATACGCTACTGAGACACACCAAATAAAAAAGAACAAACAAAAACAGGCCGTGTGTGACCGGCCTCAAGCAGTTGTCCCCTGGGCTCTGCGGTCACGCAACCAACTTCCACGGTGTGGGCAGCCGGGAAGTAACAATCGCCCTCACAACCCGAAGAGCACGCGAAACCTCTCTATTCCTCACTCACCTTTGTCTTCATCTTCATCTCTATTATCTTACCTTCCTTCTACTAATGCAACTCCTCTACTTAATGGCCCTTCACTTCCTCTTCACTCTGTGTGCACTGATAACGATGGAAGCCAAAAAGCCACCATCGATAGTCTCCTAAAGCCACGTCACCAATTTCATATAGGGGCATTTAATGTTAGGACACTTTGCCAAATAGGACAACAGGCATCACTAGCCAAGACTCTGGCATCCCGAGCCATTGATGTATGTTGTGTTTCAGAAACACGCATACAGGACCCAAGTGTGGTTATTCACCTAACCCCACCTGGCCAACAGGATGAATCTGCAAAATTCACCTTGAGGGTGTCAGGAGATGAGACGGCTGGCTCACGAGGATTAGCTGGTGTTGGGATAGCTCTGAGTACTAGGGCAGAAAAGACATTGCTTGACTGGATCCCGGTAGATAGCCGAATGTGTGCTGTCCGTCTAAACGGATCAGTGAAAAGGAGAAAGGACTGCACTACTCACCGATGCCTTTTCGTAATCTCCGCCTACGCCCCCACTGACTGCAGTTCGGATGAAACGAAGGATGAGTTCGACCAAAAGCTGTCTAGTTTGCTGCGAAAGGCTAAACGCTCAGATATAGTCGTTTTAGCTGGTGACTTTAATGCTCAAGTGGGGAAATTGTGTCAATCTGAGAAGAATGCCAGTGGCACATACGGAATTCCGTGCCAGCGAACCGACAACGGTGACCGTCTCCTACAGTTCTGTTCAGATAATCACTTGTTTCTTGTAAGCACTAACTTCAAACACAAGGAGAGACACTGTTTGACCTAGCGACCTCCATCATCAAACCAACGCTGGACACAGATAGACCACATAGCAATAAGCTATCGTTGGCGTGGGTCGGTAGGGGATTGTCGCTCCTTCTGGAACACGTGTGTAGATACCGATCACGCACTGGTCCGCGCTCGTGTGTGCTTACGACTGAACGGACGTAGGAAACAGCTGGCGGTAAAACCATCATGTCCCCAGCTCGATCAGGAAAGCCTGGAAGAATATCCAGTCAGCCATAGATACAGCTGTAAAAGCTGTGAATAAGGTAAATCCAAAGGTGAGTAAAAACCATTGGATTTCGACTGCCTCATCCGAACTGATAGATGCTAGAAGACTTATTCCGGCGAGCTCCGAATTCAATGAGGAGCGAAAGCTGCACAAAAGAAAACTTACGAAAAGTCTCCGCAAGGACCGTGAACAGTGGTGGTTGGCAAAGGCGAAAGAGATGGAAAAAGCATCGGCGATAGGCAACACTAGGCAACTCTTTAGACTCATCAGGGAAACGGGTGGGAGAAGGCAAATCATAAGTGAGACTATTTGTGAGAAAAATGGCTCCTTAATTAGCTCTCAGGATAGACGCCTCGAACGCTGGAAAGAACACTTCGAGGAACAGTTTAACTTGCCTACAGCCACACTGAGCCTCCCCGCCATCCAGCACACACCCGAATGGGACATAGACACTGGCCCGCCGTCTGTAAGTGAGGTCACCAAAGCTATCTGTAAATTGAAACGAGGCAAAGCGGCAGGACCCGACGGAATTATTCCGGAGGTGTTTAAATATGGGGGTGACATGCTAGTATATAGTTTAACTAAGGTACTAGGTAACGTCTGGGAATCAGAGACGGTTCCATCAGACTGGGGTAAGTCACTTATTATACCGATTTTCAAGAAGGGAGACAAGTCGTCATGTGATAATCATAGAGGAATCAGCCTGACGAACATAGTCTCTAAAATCCTAGGCTCAGTAATCCTGAACAGACTAAGTCGAACTCGGGAGGAACAAACGAGGGAAAATCAAGCGGGCTTTAGGCCAGGTAGAGGGTGCATAGATCATATCTTCACTCTCCGACAGATCCTAGAACATAGGCACACTTTTAGGCGTTCAACAATTGCCATATTTCTTGACTTGAAGGCGGCCTTCGACTCCGTGGATCGAGAGGTTCTATGGCAATGTTTGACTATGAAGGGAGTGCCAAGAAAGTACATTGCACTAATCAAGGCACTCTACTCAAACTCACGTAGCTGTGTAAGGGCTTATGGGGAATTGTCATCTGAATTGATAACAACCAGTGGTGTCCGTCAGGGATGTCCACTTTCCCCTTTTCTGTTTAACTTCATCATAGATATGCTAATGGAAGTATCCTTAACTGAACTTAACGACTTAGGAATCGACTTGTTACCAGGGAATAGTCTTATAGACTTAGAATACGCAGACGACATAGTCCTGTTAGGGGAGGACGCTGACAAAATGCAGAGTCTTCTGAACACCTTGAGCAGCAATCTTCGTATGTTTGGCATGCGATTCGCCCCTGTGAAATGTAAGATGCTGCTACAGGACTGGACTACGTCAACTCCAAGCTTAGTGATAGGGAGTGAAGTGATAGAACATGTTGACCACTTCACCTATTTAGGAAGTTGTATCAGCACCAACGGATTGATTGGTGACGAAATCACAGCACGGATCCAGAAAGCTAGGGCTGCTTTCGCTAACTTACACCGTCTCTGGCGTAGGCGTGACATCCGACTGTCAACCAAGGGACGTGTATACTGCTCAGCAGTTCGCTCCGTCCTTCTCTATGGCGGTGAGACGTGGCCATTGAGAGCGGAAGACATGAAGAGATTGTCTGTTTTTGACCACAGATGTTTACGATCTCTTTCTCGCGTTAGGTGGTATAATAAGGTAAGTAATGTTGACGTTAGGCGTAGAGTGTTGGGCAAAGAGGGAAAATCACTCGAAGAGGCTATAAAGTTACATAGATTGAGATGGTTAGGCCACGTGCTGCGCATGCCTAACCATCGTCTCCCCCCGACGGGCATTACTAGCTGATATAGGTGCAGGTTGGAAAAGAGTAAGTGGTGGCCAAACAAAAACATGGCATCAGTCCATGAAATCCTTGACAGTTAAACTGAGTCAGGTAGGGAGATGCAGACTTCCGGGTTGGGGCCCTCGGGACTCTAAGAATCAATGGCTGGAGACAATAGGTGACATGGCTCAAAATCGTTGTCAATGGCGCAGATGTATTCAGTCTCTTTAACCTTCATACTCCTTTCTACCATTACTCATTCTGTTTCACTCTTATACTTGTCAAAACTCTATTGATTCTCTTCACTCATTTTCTTGTCTACCTTTGTGTGCTATTTGGAACGTGGCAACTCGAACTGCTGCACTTCGGTGCCAAGTTCTATGTTGAATCCAGACAGACAGACAGAGACTACAGATTATGGTACTTCTGGATCCATTTATATTCCTGACACTGTTCTTTAACCTAACTGGAACTCTAGTCCCACCCTAAACCCTAATCCTAACTTAAGCCCTAAACCTTAACCGTAAAAGCCCTGAACCTACCTGACAGTGTCGATTCGCAGAAAAAAGTACCTAGGGAGTAAATGGCATACTGTACACCCCTACCCCCACCAAATCTATAAATGCAGGCAGAATTTGATTTGGAATGCCATTTCATAGCATTCTCTAAATCAGATTAGCTATTTGAGGTCAACTCCCTACAGACCTTGACTTTAGCTATCGGAGTGTAATCTCGTCGACTTCACATTTTGTTTGAGGATATAAACAGCTCAGCAGCTTAAATCTTGAATGTTCAATATTATGTCAAAGCGTTTCATAAATAAACTTGATGCTTATACATTGTTTGATTTTTCTTACATATATGTATTCATAGATGTGAAACCTTCAAATATTCTTATCGATTGTAATGGCAATGTGAAATTGTGTGATTTTGGTATCTCTGGTCAACTAGTTGATAGTATTGCTCGATCACGTGATGCCGGATGTAAACCGTATATGGCGGTAGGTTGATGGTAGTTGATTTGACTGTCGTTTTTCTGTCTTTATTACTATTATTGAACCGATTCCATAATAATTAACTTTTCGTAAATGTGGAAACTGATCGTCAAGCTATAATTAAGTTGGTGGAATAGTGACGAGCAGTGGAATCCACGATGTGCATTTCGTCCTATTTGAAACTCTTCACCTGAATGTAATTGTAATCAGTTCACAGTGCAAGTGGTACTGTTCCCAATGAAACTCGAACTCAACACAAATCGCTTCAAACGCCAGAACATCATCCACTCCGTTGACGAGATTTGAAGTAATTCATTCATATTTGAGATTTCTGACTGATATATATATATATATGCCTTTGAATTCAATCAGCTGCAAAGAGCATGGAACTTGCGGTGTGGATTCTACTTCTAACCAGCAATAAACACCCAACTTGAAGTTATTGAGATATCCGTTCAACAGACCCATATGCGAATATGGAGCTATCCAGCAATTAAATTCCCTAGTAGTTTCAATGAGTGCTGTTTGTCATAGTCATATCTAGCTGGGGAGCAGATTTTAGAATGAAACATGTGAAATTGCATCAATCATTATTTCATCATTTTATATGTGGCCCCTCCTATTCCACATCAGGATTGCTTCGTCTACACAGGTATCCATGTGGCTGGCGCTCATTCAAGGTGGTGTATTTTGGAGGGCATACATTCAAATCACTCATAAATTGGGTCCATTTATACATACAAAATGAAAACCACAAATATGAAAGAAAATTAACTGACTCATCAATTCATTTATACGATCCAACTAAAATGATACAACAATTGTCCTATCGATCACATTTTTGATACTTTGTGTGTGTGTGTGTGTGCGGCTGAGTAATGCCTACTCACGAAAACCGATTGATGATATAAGACCACAGAACTATTAATCGAAAATGTATATTCCAAACTGGTCTTGGTGACTCTAAACTATTGCACCCCGAGACGAAACTACCTAATGAGCGGATTGGTGACTCTGAGCATTCAGTCAGATGACTCCTACATTGACTTCTGAGCTTTAAGATAGGGATACAGTGAATGGGGTAGAGTGTGTTGACCACTTCACTTCACTTCCAACCTCCTTGATAGCTGTGAGACATGGCCATGTGTTAAGTGTAATAACAAGGTGAGCAATATTGAGGTTAGGCATCGGTCGAGTGCTAGGCAAGGAGGGAGGGGAAATCAATCGACGAGGCTGTGAAGTTACATCGATTGAGATGATCAGGACATGTGTTACGCATGCCTAGCCTAGCCATCGCCTTCCTTGACAATAGGCAATGTTAGCTGACATAGGTTGGATCAGATTGGAAAAGAGTTAGCTAGTAGTGGTTAAACCAAAACACGGCTTTATCACAGTCAATGGAATCCACAACAGTTAGTTTAAGCTAATCACACATGAAGTGTGGACCTCTTGGTTGGGTTCCTTAGAAACGGTAAAAACCAATGAAGGGGCTGGAGATAATTGATGATAAGGCTCAATGCATGTGCATTCACTCTTCATGATTTATAATATCTAGTAAAATTCTATAGTTCTTCCATATTACTATTCTTTTTGTCGCATATTTCTGTTTAGTAAGTCTCTTTTCAAACATCCCTTTACTCTCTATCTCTTGTTTTGTGTGCTACAAAGACGCATGTGTGTGTGTGTGTGTGGCAACTTGAACTGCTGCACATCTGTGCAAAGTAGTTTTACGTTGAAGCCAGGCAATCACAATATGTGATCTGCTCGACACCATAAATGTGATAATCAAAAAAGCAAATATGTTTGTAAATTGTAAATTTGAAACTCTAAAGTGGTAAAATACAAAGTAGTGAAGTATTGTGTGTATTTCAAAGTAATCAAAGCTGTTGCACCGATTCCTCTCATATATATATATATATATATATATATATATGATTACAACAAATAAAGCTAGCAAGTTATAAAAAGTAACCACAACTAATAATCAGTTAGAGTAAAGATTGCACACGTTGAGAGCGAGAGACAATGGAAACAAAATAAAAGGTAAATATAAACCCTAACAGCTTTTATGATTCAAATAAACAAAGCGGTTAATTCAGTTATGCATAGAATCGCTTAACATGCATAGACAAGTGTCTGATTGATTCATTGATTGAATCAAAGTTGCTCAGATGTGTTCTTCATTTGATGCTGTAACACTTCAAACAATCATACAAAAAGGAAAGGACAGGAATGTAATGATGATACAAGGATGATGATGATGATGGAATATGATGAAAGAATAGGCTCGAAGATGTTGCTTTGATCAAATTAACCAAACGCCGGTCAGATCAAAATGTAGAATTACAAAAAACCACACGTTATTAATGTATATACTACTAACTAATAAAATGAGTAGTTGTAAACTGTTCCAGTTGACTAATAATACTTGCTTGTCAGACAGAAATCATCTACACACTGAACGGTTGTTACGTTTGTGTATGTCTGAGATCATCAGTGATGCAATAAGGGACTAAATTAGATATTGAATAAAGCAAGAAAAATACTGTGGTTTGTGCAGAATAATATGGTACGATAATAATAATAATAATAAAAATAATTTGCTTTATTCCAAAACAGTACATGTACGATCATTGTTTATTTCGTTGGCTTCACGTCAGTTACTGCTTACAGCCTAAATAAATTACCAAGTTTATGTACAGAAAAGTTTTAACATACCTGCAAATTTTACATGATGTCAGTTAACGACAGAAAGTTCCGCAGCTAGTGAACAGTGCTCAGAAAATTACGCTTATATAGTTTTCACACAGGCAGTTCAAGTTTGAACAAAGTAAATGTATGCATACAATGGTAAAGGAGTTAAGTGATAAAGACGAGAGATGTGTAAGATGATGAGTAACTAATAAATTAGGTAACAATGTAATGTAATGAGTTCCACTCAAATTATATCAAGCATTAAATTTACTATGGAACATAAAAATGATGGAAAGTTGCCTTTCCTTGATATTGCCATGCAACGCCTAGATGGTAGTCTCCAAGGGTCAATTTACCGAAAGCCGAGATAGAATGGACAATACTTACATTTTAGTAGTTTTTGTCTACGAGCACTAGTCAAGACACTGTATTATAGAGCGAGGAGAATATGCTCTGCATTGAAATTTAAGGACGGATTTATGTTTCTCGATAAGATGTTGAAAAACAACGGTTACCCTCAGAGGTTCATTAATAAATATGGAAGATGTGAAGGCTCAAACATCAAACAAATCACAGTGGAATAAAAGTCTGTCTTCATTCAACTCGATTTTAAAGACGAAAATATTACAGCAATTGTCAACAGAAGATTGAGGACGTCACTAGACAGAGCCTATCCTGCAGCTAAGTTGGTTCCCGTATATCCGATAACATGCTCCTTGGTGCAGTCAGAAGTCGAGAGATACCCTCCTCATGTGTATACAAATTTACGTGTATCTGCGGGGACAGTTATATTGGAAGAACAGAAAGGAGGACATATCTACACCTCTGATTTTCTGAACATGTACTGAAAAGCCTACGTCTCACAGGAACAAGCGCTTGCAATATTGACATTACCAGACATACGGGTCATGAGGTGGAAATCGCGAATTCCTTTAAGAGTATCGACAGACAAAAAAAGCTCGGTTCCCCTCAAGTTTGCCGAAGCAATCTCTCGCAAACGCCTGGAACTCTATTTATGTGTTTAGAAAGAAGCAGTTATCAGTTTTTTCTTGCCCTGGTAACTGGGTGTCTTTTTGTTCTCCCTTTCATTCGATTACGCAATCTTCGGCTTTAAGCCCACCCCTTGATCTAATGTGATTCTGCTTGTCTTTTGTTTCTATGATTTGAGTTAAACTCAGTACACATCTCTCGTCTTTGTTACGTAACTCCTTTACCATTGTATGCATACATTTACTTTGATTGATATGAGTGGTATACAACTACTCATATCAACCAATCAGTAGTAGTACATATCACTATGTGAGTATGCTTGCTTCTCCGACCCCTAATCATCGTATCAAGCGGATCACATATTGTGATCTGAATACTTTTGGTTACCGAAGAAATGTAGTCATTCTCTATCGTGTTCTTAAGCATAATGCTATTTTATATTTTTTGCTCTATGACTTCCAATTGTGAGGTTTTAGTTATGACTTTCTTACACTTTTATCTTCCCTATTCATCAGAGTAGCACACACACACACACCTTAATACTAATTCATACATTGATAATTCTGGTCTCCAAAGGGAATTGTGCTGAAATCTCTTTTCGAACTGTATGAACTGCTAACTGTGAGTTAGACTCAACTTAATACCAGTTTGGCCACTTAGCCAGTAAGCTGGTTAGCTAGAATTCGGGTGGTGGTAAAATCGAAGTAATAACTCGAAGTTACTTGATTCGGTGCTGGCTGGGACTGATCAATTCGGTCCAGAAATTTGGTACGAGAATACTCAAATATTTTCGTTTGACACTACGTAACAATTAGTGTTCTGCCGCTAGTACTACTTTTAGTGCATTCTGAATCCTATCAGCCGAGTATGCAATGTGACCACCAAACTACGTAACTTGTTGTTGCATGTTTGAAGGCACTCAGCAGGAGACCTTGTCTGACCTAGATTTCATGTTTGTTAGCTTTCACCAGTTATCAATGTGTATCAACAATCGTGAACGATCTCATGCTTCTGCGGAGATTCGAACCTGGATCACTCAGTGCTTACAGTCGGAGACGCGGACACTGAGCTATTCGGCCTCGTAACTAAACTTCTGTAGGACTATGATGGATCCTTTCATTGAACACTAGGCGATAACTAATTTCACGCGTCTTATAGTTTGTTTGGTTCAGATTAAATTCTATCAGACGAGTGCCAACAACCACCAAACCTAGATCAAAGGCTTTCTGCTGGCTTTCGGGCTCCAACCATCTATCAGAAAATCGCAAGTAGGAATAAATTATTTTGTTTCAAATCATACCAACTGCTTAAGAGGTGTGTTCTACACCCGAGTGGCTAACATTTTGGTGCTTGAAAAGCGGTGTTTGCTTTGGTGTTAGAGTCTCAGAGGGGACAGCATCGCTAACAGTGTGTATCGATTTCAGGCACACTCAAATGACAAGTTCCATATAGGACGGAATGCGCATCTTGGTTTCGACTTCTGGCACAACTGACAAACAAGTGACTTCAAATCAGTTAGTCAGTTGGATTCTACTAATGCAAGTAGCTTCAACGTGTTACAATAAGGTAGCAAAATTTGAACATGATTAAATCATGGACTTTCATCTTCGTGTTTGAATGGCATTAAAGTTCAGAGTTGTTTTGGTTGTGAATCAGTATCAGCTGGACAATGCTAATGGGGACCACTAGGAAGCTCAACTCGTAATTTTTTAACTGTAGTGAATCAAGTTCAGTCCTGTTAAGACTCCTGATGGACATGTTACTATTTCAATTCAACTTCCCTATAGCATTGATAGGCACCACTAGTTACCAAATGTCATCGGCGATTAAAACTGTGCATATATCTAAATCTCTTGAGTTCACCCTGCTTAATGAGTACCACGAATGTGTCCTTGTAAAATGTAATCATGATGCCACGGGACCAGTTTGCATCGACCTGCAGTTTAATTATAGGGAGTGAAATGGTTGTGTTTTGACCACTTCACTTTTTTGGGAAATTGTAACAGCCGTAATGGACTGATTGCTGATGTAATCTGAGTATGGGTACAAAGAACGTCATCTCTCGCGTAGACGTGAAATATGTTCATAAACTAGCCGTCGAAAGACATGACATCGACATCACATCGTTGCATACAGACAACCATGGACATCAATTCAACCGGACAATGTGTAAATATTAGACAGAGAAAAACACCAAGAATGCTAGAGGATTTTTAAGAGCCTGCTATTCCAATGAGTAATCAATCAATAGACACATTGGCATAGACAAAATTTACCAATCGATAAGAAGAAAATCTGATAGCACACAAATGGTCAAACTTCAGGTCGAGAAAACAATCAACACCAATACAAGTAGCCTAGAGGGTGTGAAAATACACGAAAACAACCAATCACATTCAAAGTTACCCAACAGGGGAGATGACTAATAAACTCGTGAAGAAATCTAAAAGCTCACTTCAATTCAAATTGAGGTATTCACTGAAGGTGTTGTCTAGTAGAGAAATCATCCAGCTAGCTCAGAGAACACAACTACATCAAAAAAGATGTGAGTATTGTGCAACACTTCACTCTATCTCTGTGAAATGTGGCTATTGTTAGCCGAAGACTTAAAGAGGCTAGCTGTCTTTGACGATAAGCGTTTGCGTTGGATTTCTCAGGGTAAATGGTATAGTGACATGATATTTTGGTCAGGTATAGAATGGTAAGTAAGGAGGCAAAATCACTTGAAAAGACCGTGTAGCGGCATCGATTAAAATGTCAGGGGTATGTGATACACATGCTAAGTCATCACCTTCCTCTCCGTGTTATGTTACCTGGCATAGGATTGGATTGGGAAAGAGTTTTGCTTGTGGTCACATCAAAATACCACATCAGTTTATGAAGTGCTTAACTGTCGGTTCCAACCAGCCACATAGAGAGGGTCCTCTAGTAGCAAAGAGCCAGCGGCTAAGGACTGTTGACGATATGACTCAAAATTGTTTTTAATAGTCCAGGTGTACTCACTTATTATGACTTCACAGATACGCGAAATTCTTCTTATCCTTTCTCCCTCATATTTCCAAATATTGTAGTTTCATTGCATGTATTCTCCACATCTTTATAAGTGTGTCTTGGTGAAATTTACTATCTTGAACTGCCACGATTCTCTTTCTCCGTGTAGACTGACAAATGATTCTTTGTCTAGGATACGACAACTAAATGCTCCTGAATTCACTATTCCTCGCGAAATCAGTATATCATCTCTCTCTATTTGAAATTCACCAGTGCAATTCTTTTTTCTTTACTCTTGTTGCATCGAGAGAAGATGAGCGACTTTATAATGAACCTTTATTTAGGGGAAAACATTACGCATTCATACATTCATACCCATTTTAAAGTTCTGCTAGGTTAGTGGAGAATAAATTGTTCTGATTGGTTACCGATTGGTCCAAGGTTAAACAAGCTGTCCAATGAAATTATTTCATGTCCGCAAAGTAAATTAAATCAAGACTTTCGAGGAATTCTACACTTCTACCTCTGCTGCCAGCCACTGACTTAAAATGTTGATTTCAATTTTGGCCACTTTCTACCAATCTACATCTGTATACTACTTATAAATCTTGTCAATAGTACACATCATTCTATGTATTTATTCTTATTTTAAGTTCTATCCATTTTTCTTCTCGTCCCCCCCCCCCCTTACATTACAGCCAGAACGTATTCATCCAGATTTAAGTGTTAACGGTTATGATATACGCTCAGATGTATGGAGTTTAGGTATAACACTAATTGAATTAGCCACTGGTCAATTCCCATATCCAGCATGGAATTCTGTTTTTGAACAATTGACGTGTGTTCTACACGATGATCCGCCCAGTTTACCAGAATATATTCGTTCACCAATTCAAATGTCATCATCAACAACAACACTTGTCAATATTGACTACCATTCAAACAGTAACAACAACAACAGTAATTCAAATGAGACTACACAGTCGAGTGATTTTTCACCAGAATTTCGTGATTTTGTTTCTCAGTGTTTAAAGAAAGAAGTGAAATCTCGACCAAAGTATCAAGCACTCATGGTTAGTTTTGGTAAATTCCTTAATGCTGTCGTAATAATTTCTTGTTCAATACAACTCCACGTTACTCCAACAACCACTCGCTATTCGCATGCACAGTTGGCACTGAGCCAGCACCTATTGTGCAAGGGCTGGTTTTTGTCGCCACCCCCTAGACTGCCCAGACCTCGGTGCGCGGGTTGGGGTTCGTACCGTTAATCTGGAGTGATTGGAAGTCGAGTGCCTAGACCAATACGCTACAACTCCATAATATGTCTCCTCTGTCTAATATGAAATTTTGCTTAACCTCTTTTTTATTATATTCGTATCCGTTGACCGACTTTTAGTTCCAACAACCGCCTTTTCACGTATCTTAAATACGACTGACTATACTGTACGGTTTGAAGTCATAAAGTCATCAAAGGGAAATATATTTCCTCGCCGAATAAAACTGTCTTCCAGGTGTTAGTTTGCAGGGATTCGATTGCTTCATAAAGTTTGATCACGAACCGATATAAGTTAGGGGAGCATTGAGAACAAGCAGGGAGTATTCGGTATCTGTTTCGTTCTCTTATAGGACTCTTCAGCTCAAGTGATAGAACCCAGGACATTCGAGTTACAAGATGAGCTAGTTGATCGTTCAACCAGTGGGACGGAATCCAATGCTTCATCAGTTAAAATCCCGGCTAATCAAAAGTTAAAAATTAATGTAGTGCTCACTAGTGACTGACTATGGGATGAATTTGCCTGAAGAGTTCCACTGGGAAGTGTTTACCACCAAGTTGAACGGGAGGAAAAACACTCATCGATGACATTCCCTGTGAGTGACGCTGAAAAGCGTGGACTGACATTGGGTCAGTGGATTCCATCCCAGGTGCTGGATGGTCAACAAGCTATCCTCCTAACCCGAAGGTCTTACATTTGATTCCCGGTGAGGCTATAGGTGTGCACTCTCGGTGAGTTCTAGGGTTAGCTTTGTTTTTCCGTAATTAAAGAAAATTAATATCCAGCATCCAACTTGTATCCTGGATAACGTCGATGACGTCAGCTTTAATGTGTGACCTCCTAAGTCTTTGTTGTATATATGCTGAGATTTTGTAAATTCCGGTTTAATATTACTTTGATAAAGCTACTAGCATTAAATAGCGAAACGTCAGTAAAAACAATATCGTTTTGCATATCATATACCCAATGCCCAAATTTTTTCAAACTGTTAAAAGTGAACTTGGTTTGGATATATATAAGGCTGATACAATTCTTAATAATGATGAGGTTTAGTTTAGATGTTGAGATTCTCTGAGATGATGTGTGGATTGGCAGACTGTTATCATCGATGAATTGGGCGATAATGATTGAAGGTGGTGACTGAAACTGGATTCAAACAATACACTCTCCAACTTACTAATCCAGCACTCTAATAGGTTAGGTGAGCACCGAGGTTATCATTTCACTGCAATCATCACCACAGGTAATTCCCAGCTGTCGTTTGAATCAAGGATACGTTGATGTTCGTTGATCGTCACTATACTTCTGCAAAGGAGTCTCCTGTCAACCTTAATCATACTGGATTCGAAGAAGAGGATTTAGTCGTTAATTGGTGATGAGAGGGACATTGTTTATGTGCGGCTTGACAACAAAGTCGTTGAGAAGAGTCTCTTCGTTCAATATTCTGTCCTTAATATTATAATTCTCAACTTATAGGCCTGAGGAAGTCGAAGATGAAACGGATACACACTGAAGAGACCATAGAACGACATCCTACTCTAAGCAGGCCTTAGAGTTTAAACCAAATGGGAAACGATGTATTAGGCCGGGTTCTGAGGGTGACATGGAGGATATCGTATGAGAAGGGAAGAGGAGGAGTAGGATATGAAAACCTATGGGCAGTCATGGAGCCAACTGAAAGTGATTGCAGAGAATAAAATGAAATGGGAATGTGACATTGAAGCCTTACTTACTCAAGGGAATAATAATGCTACAGTAGGAACTATTAACTTATTGAGAAGAGGTACAAAGATATGAGAATTAAGTTACACAGACCAAAGACTTCTCTCCTTGATCACAAATAAAAAAACTAAACAGTCTTTAAAAATAATTTGGTTGATGGTGAGTAGTATTAGAATCCAAGATGCGTGTTTCGTCAAATTTGGGACCCATCACCTGGGTGTACCTGCAGTCACCAGTGAGTGATGGTGTTCTCACTGAGGCTCGAATCCAGTACCTATCGTTTCAAACGCCAAAGCACTACCCACCACCTCTTTGTTTTTTAAATTCAAATTTGACTTTCCCGTTGATTGATTGAACCGCAGGTCTACGTCCAGCTGCCGAGTCTCAAGTAGGACGAAATGTCCATCTTGGATACCACTGCTAGTCCACCATCCACCGAATCACTTCAAGTTAAATCCACTGACATCATTGGTGCATCCTCGCAAGGAGCCGACAGACATGTTAACAGACGCCAAACATTTTGGTCCAATCAAGCCATATTGGCTGCATTAGATGTGGGTCCCAGCATCCAGTAGCCTAATGGATAACACTCTGGGGTTTGAAGTGATGGACGCCTGGTTCGAGTCCCAGTAACGACCCCCCTAGTGTCACCCTCTAGAAATCAGGTACATCTAGCTGACGAGTCCCAGAAAGAAACAAAATACACCTCCTAGATTCGACTATTTACCTGTGACCAAACAATTCACATAAAATTCGTAATTTTTATCTCTATTCTTCAATATTATAATTGCTTATCATTATCACATTAATTATTTGTCTTTTTGAATTCTACACAGAATCATCCCTTCTATTTACGTTCTCTTGCTGAAGTTGTTAATGTCGGCAGATATTTCCAATCTGTACTAGATAAAGTTCCAGCTGATATGAATATGAATGAATTAGGTCAAATGATGAGTGGATAAATGAGACTAGATAGAAAAGAAGAACTGGACGAGATAAGTCACACAAAACCATTCCATAGTGTGTGTGTGTGTGTGTGTGTGTGTATTCAAATGCAAATATATATATAAACGTGTATATCAGAGGTTTACAAATTATGATTTCAATTTTCCCGCTTAAACACGCCATACATTCAATGTTCAATATATTTTATTTAAACTAATAAAACCTTCTAACAAAAGGATAGAGACGTAGAAACAGACACAGTATATTATTTATTTATGTGTATATGTATATAACTTAAAGAAATTCTACTCTTTCTATGATAATATGATTCATTTTAGTATTCTGTTCTGTCTGTCTGTTTGTGTGTTTGTTTTTTCACACAAATCTTGACCAATCAACATCCTATCATTTCTTACTCATCTTTATACAATCGAAATTTATCTTATTTTGTTTTTCCCACTTAGCAACACCGACTACTCATCAAAGAAATTCTTTCTTTAAAGCTAAAAATCTATTGTCATCAAGTGAAAGAGAGAGAGATTTGTATAAATTAAAAATTTAGTGTACCATTTCCTTTTTTTGGGGTCATCTTCATCTACATTCATAAAGCTTCACACATTAGTAGAAGTTATTCTTATTGCTAATAATAAGTGTAGCTATATAACATCAGTTACCGTTTGTACGATATCTGAAATGTATTTATCTTCGATGGCTGTTTTTTCTGTTTATGTGTGCGTTGAGAAGATAAGATAATGAACTTAGAAGACCAAGGGTTATTAAGGGATGAGTCACCAGGGCAGTTGAGGTCCAACGATACATTCCTTTTGGACATAGGTGAGGTTTCAGCCGTTTTATTGCGATAGCCTCAGCAAACCGAAGAAGATTTGAGCTGTTTAGTCTGTTAATTATTTTGAATGATGCCAACGCTCACACTACTCGGCCCCTTTAACCGGAAGCTCCTTAGTACATGTTCGAAGCATCTAATATAGACCCTTCTTTCTGTTCTTCTGATGTAACCGCTCCCAGAGATATATGTGAATTGGTACACACGGTTGGAGGGGACATATATGAGGGGTACTTGCTGATCTGTGACTGCACCAACGAGGGAGATACTCGAAGCAGGAAGACTAGTTTCGCTGCAGGATACGTCCTCGATAGCACTGCACATTATCTTTCAAATATCATTCTCATGGTAACATCGCCTTTGAAGTCGAGTTTGATGAAAACTGGCTTTTTGCTGACCGTAGGCTCATCAGGTTTCTCACCTTCATTCTATCCATATTTGTCAATGAAACTTTTTGGATAACCATTTTCTTTCAAGCAGCACTAGTTCACTGTCTAATTTATCAGATGAACATATTCTTTTCGTTCTGGAGAAAGGCGTTTTCACCAACGTTCGTTTGTAAGTGACTGGGCAAAAGCTGTTGGAGTATAAGAAGGGACCGCTCCATGTGTCTTTACGATATATCGATCTAACTAGTGTCCCATACGATTTCCTCCCCAAGTTTATATCCAGGAAGTGGAAATTATCGGCGTTTTCGTGCTCCATCGTGAAGATGATATTCTTAAGTACTGTAGAATTGTTGAATAAGCCCAATAGAGAAGAAGCGTGACTCAAATCATTGCATAGAATGAATGTGTCATCTGCGTATTTGTAGTAGGTTGTTGTTTCATCAATTGCACACTTGAGTTTAGTCTGTTCTAGATTGGAAAAACGACCTTGAGGCGCTTTTCGATTAGTACGCTACCTTTGCTTAGTCACACAAAACTCTCATTACTTTGGTGTTTCAGGCCAGGAAGTTGTGGAATTTATTGTAGTTAGTTTACTTACCTTCGAACACTAAACCTGTGGATATAATCTTGTTGACTGATAATACCTATGACTAACTGCTTGGCATTTGTAACTGTCTAACACTGACTAATATCTATAATTGTATATGTTGTTGTAGTTACATTACCAAGTTGACTCGAGTCAGTGAGTCTATGGTTTTTATATCATTTTTGTTAACTGTATTTGACAGTGATACTACGGCTACAGGTTCTTTTCATTTTCTTATTCTTGTTGTCGCTGCTCTTCCTGTTGTGAAATTTTTTCCTTGTGCTGGTGTTGTTCCAATTGCTTTATTCCTTGTTCTCCTGATTCTATGGGGAGCAACCCAAAATGTCGCTCTCCTGTAATATATACATTCACATGACAAACCCCTTCTCAGGGATGAGGCTAGCAACCCCACCCTGTAAACAAACCTGCTACAGAAACTTCAGCACGATGTATCTCCTTGAGACAAAAGAAAAAGTCTGTGTTGGGACATGGAATGTCCGCACCATGTACGAGATTGGCAAAGCTGCCCAGATCGCAAACAAAATGAAAAGATACGGAATTCAAGTACTGAGGATATATGAAAGCAGATGGAACGGGAATGGACTCGCCCTCGGTGTGCATGTGGTTATCCTCTGGGTGACCGGAGTAGATCACTGACTCACCCATTGACAATTTGGTAAGTCCATTCCCGTTCCATCTGCTTTCATATATCCTCAGTACTTGAATTCCGTATTTTTTCATTTCGTGTGCGATCTGGGCAGCTTTGCCCATCTCGTACATAGTGCGGACATTCCATGTCCCAACACAGACTTCTTCTTTTAGCGCAAGGAGATTCATCGTGCTGAAGTTTCTGTAGCAACTTTGTTTACAGGGTGGGGTTGCTAACCTCACGCCTGAGAAGGGGAGAAGGAAAAGGTTAGTGTTGCTTGACCGCAGAGCCCAGGGGACAACTGGCTGAGGCCGGTCGCACGCGGCCTGTTTTTGTTTGTTGTTTTTTATTTGGTGTGTCTCAGTAGCGTATTTATCACTTCTGCCCTGTGACACAGCAGCAGGAAGCGCGTTCGTTGTTAATCCGGGCCCCGACCGACCCGGCATGATATTTTGTAAGTTTGTTTGAACCATAGTATTGGATTGGGAAGCTGCTTTTTGTCTAACCGCTATCCAAACAACCTTTCTTGCATGGTAGGACCTACTGGAACTTAAGTTTCAGCCAGTGTAGCTCGTTGGGTCATTGCTATATGCAAGCACGACCACCACGTCCAGGTAGCAGCTATCGGTCGGTTCACTCACCAAAGAAGTGGAGCAAAGGAAACACTGGGCTGAACACTTCAAAAGACTCCTAAGTCCACCACCTACAACGCGCCCAACAATACCAACAACGGAGACAGAGCTACCAGTGAACACCAAACCCCCGACGAGAACAGAAGTCCTGAAAGCAATGAAGATGCTAAAAGCTGGAAAAGCAGCAGGACCAGATGGAATGCCGGCAAGAGCATTGGAAATGGACCCAGAGACGTCGGCAGACTTGATAACACCACTACTGAAGAAGGTGTGTTAAGAGAGCAAGGTACCTGCTGATTGGAGGGAAGGCTACCTATTCAAACTGCCAAAGAAAGGGGACTTAAGTGGATGCGAGAACTGGCGCGGCATTATGTTCCTGTCCATCCCAAGCAAACTACTAAACCGCATCATCCTGAAGGGAATCAATCACGCCTCGCTGGATGAAAAACTTCAACCGAAACAAGCTTGATTCAGGAGAAACAAATCATACATCGATCAAATCTCAACACTGCATATCATCATTGAACACAGCTTAGAATGGCAGTCAGCTTTCTATCTCAACTTCAATGACTTTGAAAAGGCCTTCGACAACGTTGACCGAAAGATGGTTTGGAAACTACTTCGCTACTACGGGGTGCCGCGAACAATTATACATCTCATCCAACAGTTGTACGACAATGCTGCATGCCAAGTAATCACCCACAATGGGAATTTCACGGCATCTTTCGAAGTGAGGACGTAAGACAAAGCCGACCAGCTGGCTGCCTACTATCTCCAATGACTAATTTCTTGATCGCGACAGATAGCGGATAACGAGCTGACAGGCATAAAATGGATCCAGACAAAAAAAACTTGGAGGAGCTGGACTTCGCCGATGATATATGCCTGTTTTCCCACAAACTGGAAGATATGCAAGTAGAAGGCAACAACTTGACAATAGAAGAAGCAGCAAAGATAGGAAAGACTTCAGGTGAACATAGAGAAAACAGAGTTAGGTGACGAAGATTCCTGGCCATCCGCAACAGGGGCAACAACAGATAACAATCAGCATAAATGCGAGAAATCTGAAAGAAGCAACCTCCTTTACCTACCTACCTGGGAAGCATCGTTTCAACTAAAGGCCGACGCAGCTGACGAGAATATCAAGGCAAGGATCGGGAAAGCAAGACAAACTTTCATTGTTCTCAAGTCTGTGTGGAGATGAACAGTACTACTCAGCCTGAAAAAACAAGATCGGGATTTTCAACTCCCATGTGAAGTCAGTGCTACTATGCGGATCAGAGACTTGGTGCCACGCCGCGTCACGAAAGGCACTTCGAACAAACTACACACTTTCATCAACAGCTGTATTCGCTAAATAATACTCAAGATCAGATGGCCGGCCAGAAAAGATGATCATCAACAAGGATCTCTGGCAATGAGCGAACAAACCCAGCAGGAACCGATTGTGTAACAAGCTGTGCAGGAATAAATTGAGGTGGATTGAATTGGCCATACTCTGAGAAAACAAACCATCAAGTGAGTGGCATCACACGCCAGGCCATCGACCAAGTGGAACCCGAATGGAATGGGAAGCGGCGAGTTGAGCATGGGGTGACATGGAGGGGGCCATGCAGAGAAGAGGGAATGAAAGCATGTGGTCAGACGTGGAGGCAGGTGATGAAAACGTTGGCGGAGAACCGTACGCAATGTAGACGCGCGGCTGAAGTCCTATGTTCCTCTAGGAATTAAAGGAAACAATAATAATAATTTGGTCATGAAAATATCAGCTACTGCAGGACCCAATAGACTCCCCATCGACACTCCATCAACCTGGCGATACATTTTGTTGTCAAACTGGAATTGTATATCCTTGGTACATAACAACATGAAAAGCTGACTAATTCCAGTTTTTTTAGAGGAAGCAAGTCAGCCTGTCGATAGATCATGTCTAACGTCTCAATCAGTGGGACCTGTGTGAATAGAGAAGTCACATCGAAGATCATAAGTTTAAATTATAGAAAACAAACAATCAGATTGAGCAAGGGGAGTAAATAAACTAAGTTTTCAAGTATTGGTTTGTAGGGATTTGATTGACTGGTTACAGAATTTCGTCATGAGGTGACATCAGTTAAAGAACCATTGGAAAACCAGCTGGGAATACTTGACATCTAGCTGTTTTGTCCTAAGTTTGGACTCTTTACAGTACACACCCACCGGGGTCAAACCCGTATGGATTAAGAGTCCCAACCTACGATGAAACAGATGTCTAGTACTCCCAGGTTTTCCAATGGTTCATTAACCAGTGTCACTTCATGGTAAAATCCTGTAACCAAGCCAACATTTAATGAAGATGCAATAAAACTAAGGAAGTGTTTAGATAAAAAGGTAAAAATGGGATTAAAAATATGCAAAGGGTTTTACGATGTCGCCGAGTGTGAGTACGAATGCTAACTAACGATAATGAACGTTTAATAATTTATAAAAATATTACTGCCAATCAAATCAAGAGATGAGAAATTGTGGAACTACATATAAACGAAATTGGGAAGTTGTGTGTGTGATTAACTTGATATAATTATGATCAATAAATTGTG